TGTACAGATATTGCCCTGAGAGAGGGAAGGGTGAGACTGAGAGACACCAGTGTGTATACAGATATTGCTATGAGGAGTAGGGAAGTGAGAGACACCAATCAGTATATAGATATCTCCCAGATGGAGAGAGAGAGAGAGAGAGACCATTAGTGTACAGATATTTCACTAAAAGATAGGGGATTGAAAGAAGCCAGTCAGTGTACAGTTATCTCCCTCAGACAGACTGACAGACATCAGTCTGCATACATATTTATCTCTAATAGAGAAGTGATTGAGAAACACCAATCGGTTTACAGAAATGATTCTGAAAGAGGGAGGTCTAAGTTCACTCAGTGTACAGATACCACACTGTAACATTAGTAACATTAACAGATAACAGTAACATTAACACTGTAACATTAACATTAATAACATTAGTTATTATGCAGATAACTCCCTGAGGGAGAAACTGAAAGACACCAGTCAGTGTACAGATATCTCTCTGAGAGAGGGGAGACTGAGAGACACCAGTCAGTTTACAGATATCTCCCTGAGAGAGAGAAGACTGAGAGAAAGCAAGCAGTGTACAGATATCTCCCTGAGAGAGAGAAGACTGAGAGATACCAGTCAGTGTATAGATATCTCCCTGAGAGAGAGGAGACTGAGAGATACCAGTCAGTGTATAGATATCTCTCTGAGAGAGAGAAGACTGAGAGATACCAGTCAGTGTATAGATATATCCCTGAGAGAGAGAAGACTGAGAGATACCTGTCAGTGTATAGATATCTCCCTGAGAGAGAGGAGACTGAGAGATACCAGTCAGTGTACAGATATCTCCACATCTGCTAGGGGACTGAGAAACACCAGACCTATCCCTGAGAAAGAGGGACTGCAAGATACCAGTCAATGTAAAGATGTCTCCCTGAGAGAGAAAGAAGACTGAGACACCAGTCAGAGAGAGAGAGAGGGACAGAGAGAGAGGACAGAGATTCAACATGTAGTCAACATACAGACATCTCCCTGAGTGGTAGGCGACAGAGAAACAGCAGTCAGGGTACAGATATCTCCCAGAGAGAGAGAGAGAGAGAGAGATCCAACATTGTACAGATATCTCACTATGAGAGAGATAGAGAGAACTGAGAGACACTGAGCAATGTAAGATTTCTCCCTGAGAGGTGGGGGACAGATAAACACCAATCAGGTTATAAATATTTCCTAGAGAGGTAGAAAACTGAGAGACACCAGTCAGTGTTCAGATATCTCTCCAAGAGACAGAGTGAGGTGGGGAGGGACTGAGAGACACCAGTCAGTGTTCAGATATCTCTCTGAGAGAGAGAGTGAGGCTGGGAGGGACTGAGAGACACTAGTCAGTGTTCAGATATCTCTCCGAGAGAGAGAGTGAGGCGGGGAGGGACTGAGAGACACTAGTCAGTGTACAGTTATCTCCCAGAGAGAGACAGAAGAAGAGTCAGAGATGGTGACTGAGAGACACTAATCAATGTACAGGTATGTCACTGAGAGAGAGGACACCAAGAGACACCATCAGTGTCCAAATGTCTCCGAGTGAGAGGGGTCTGAGAGATGCCAGTCAGTGTCCAGCTATCTCCCTAAGAGAGATAAGTCAGTGTCCAGC